CTGCTGGAGAAGGCCAGGAGGGAGTCGGTGGCTAGCGCAGTGAGCGGGAGGCGTGATTCGCTGCAATCCAGATGTACGCTAGCACGAGCTGAAGAGCGGCAAGCAGGAAAAGACTGAGCTCTGGAAACTTTATCCTGCATTACTGAAAGCCCCGCTGAGCGAATCCCAACTTACTCTTACATAATCAACCATTAAGGGTAAGGAGCATGTAGCTAAGAGATAATACGCGTAAGGAGGATCATGCCTAATTCCTGACAGTCCTACACTCTCCCGCCAAACCATTTTTACCCCACTGCTCTTTTGTTAAGAGCGGGAAATAGACTTGAAACTAGAACTTTTGCTGTGATGCAGAGGATGACAACACTCCTTCCCAAAGAGACCTAAGATCTGGGAAGTGGAACTGCACATGCTTGTGCAACGCTGTACTGATTTGGCTTGGTTTGCATACGACTTTGCATACATTAACACTCATATCACTTCACACCTGGCTTGCAGACTGCTTAGAAAAGGTACGGGCTGACGATCAACTGACTTTGGGATAAACCATCCATTACTCATGTTACGCTCCGGGACGGCAGAGGCACGTACCTGAGAACAAACACTGTAGGAGGAGCTGGATGAGCAGTTCCTCAAGAGCAGCTGACACACTGGCAGGCTGCACGACAGCTTACCCTACGGTAGCCTTTTTTTTTTTGGCTATGCCCCGAAGTTTACAGGCACACTTCAAAGTGCCACAACCTGCTTTAAGCTGGCTGCCAACCTAAAATTGCGCTCGCTAAACCAAACTGATTTAAGTTAAGACAATACAGCTTCTATGTCAGGAAATGCTGCTTGTCAATACCCCAAAGAAAAGAACAGTACATTGGTTAGGACACCGCAGGGGATCAGCGGACTTTGTGCACCAGTTAGACAATAGCACTGGTCACATCCCTCCATTTGTCAGCGCTCTTGGTTTCTCTGTCAGTACAACAGAGAGGATGATATTCCTCCGAATCGGTAAATAATTGTTCGTTTACATCCTTCACAGGTATTTTAAGGGAGTTACTAACACTAACACAGTTGACCCTTCTCACTGGATCACAGGGTAAATGCAAAGAGCCAGTATGAGAGAGGAACAACAGCTCAGGCAGAGCATGAAGAGCTCTAAATCCATAACAATCCCAGGACGGGTGTCCCCGCAGTGTGCTACGAGCAGCCTTTAACAACAGGGTGAAATGCCTCCCTGTCATCACCCAGACTGGGAAACCACCACGTGTTTCAGCCCACAGCACCTCTGGCTGCGCTCCAGAGGCAGCAGTAAATGGAGCAGCAGAACAAGCTGCTGGAAAAGCTGCAAGAAATCTATGACAGGGGTGGCAAAACGGGAGGGGTGCTTTAGGTGTTCCCTGCTCATCTCTTGTGCTGCTGCTCCGGAGAGGGCTCCACGCTACAGCTGCTGCCCCACAGCCAGTAAAGCTGCCTTAAGAGAACTGATTTTTACACGTATTTACTCCGTTTTTACCCAGCGCAGGCCCAGGGCAGCCTGAGCTCCATCCTGAGCCCCAGCCTAGCCGGGCGGTGCAGTGCAGGGGGGGTTCCCTGCCCAGGGATGCTCCTGCCCTCTCCCAACCGCAGCTGGGGCAAGCAGGGAGCCAGACAACGCCACCCGCCAGCCCCCTCCCTCCCAGGGTTATTTTGAGAGGGCATAAACCGGTCGTGAGGGATTTGGGGTGGGAATCGGGCCGTGCTCTCTCACCTGCTTCACCTGCAGGTCCACCACTCTCTGGAAGACGTGTGCCACCAGTAAGGAGATGCTGGCGATGAGCAGCGTCATGGCCAAGACCCCCACGGTGACGAGGCAAAGCGATTTCATGGCTGCTGCCGAAGAGGGACACCACC